GATTTATTTGATCATTTTTAATAAGTTAAAGTGTTTAATTTCACTTTTTAAAAGTTCAGGGGTCTAATTGACTTCTTGTGTAAAATTGGAGTGTATATTTAATCCTTTTCTCTATTCGAAATACTAAGGGGTCGTTTACTAATTTGGAATATGATATTCTGATTCAAGAACATACTAGAACATTGCAGAATCATGGAAGTGAATTAGTGAAGTCCATGTAAAATTTGCCGCTGATCCAGGAAATATTCGACTTGGGTTAGTTACTAATGGTTTCAATCCATTTTGACATTGTAAATTTTTTACACATAGCTGAATGTTATATTGCTAAAGAATGTCTTACATTTGGCAAACACTTGTATGGAACTGCCTCACGGATCCTTGTTCGTAAAACGGGTCGGGTTGTAGACAACTGAATTGTGATACTGTGTAAGTATCACAATTCAGTTATAAGTATTACAATATTTATTATTAGTAACCATCAATTTTACACTAAGTATTACAATATTTAAGTTAGAATTACACTTTGTAATATAAGTATCACAATTTTAGTTACAAGTATTACAATATTTATCATTAGTAACAATCATTTTATCCTAAATTGTATCACAATTTTACATATAAATGTTACAATATCTATTATAAGTAACAATTTATTTATTTCAAATTGGTATGAAATTTTCTGTAATAAGTATTATGATTTCTATTTTAATTAACAAGTAAATATCCTAGATTCAAGGTATTTAGAAAGTGGTTGAAACAAGGATCACTTAATCTAGGCGTATTGATGAGGTGCCATTCTATGCTAAAAATATTCAAAGGAGTAATATCTTCAAATAAATTGGTCAACCAGTAGGCAATGTTTCAACTTTTCAACTAACTAATATAGAGAAACAGCAAGCACATCGATATGTGCTAATGAATTGCAAACATGTTGACAAATATATTGAGTAATTAACATCCCAAATTATGTATTTTGGTAAGAAATAACATATATTATTTCAATTGTTACAAATGTGATATTATCACATACAGAGAATTTAAAATTTTTGAGGAAGAGACGACTATGGAGGTAGATGAGAACTTCTACTAAGATTCAAAAAACAATAGAGACTTTGCGAATTGGTTTGCAAAGAGAATAATTAAGAATTTCATCTCAAATCAATATTTACTTAAAAATGAATTTACTAATACAATATCGCTGTATTTTAGATCCTAAATAATGACTATAAAGAGGAAGTGCCACATGACATTACAATTTTAGCAAGAGGTCCACTTACTCATCCTAGAAGAATTTCTTCATATAACATTAATGAGTTTAAGATTTCGAACAGTGAATTTAGAAGAAGGACTGAAGTCACAAAATAATGGAGTATTTGTGATTGCTGGAACTCCAAGTGTTGCAAGTAGTTGGGATATGTATGAGATTTTTTCAGATGTTGCTTATTATGATGATAAATTGGTGGACATCCCCGTTGAACTCAATTACTACATCAAATTTGTGGTGGACATCCCCGTTGAACTCAATTACTACATCAAATTTGTGGTTACATTATCTAAGTGTATATGGGTTGATACGGCTACTACAAGAAGGATAAGAAGAAATCATTATGGTTTTACTAAAGTTAACTTCTCTAGAACAATACATGTTGTAGATAGTATAGATGATGAGCCATATGTGTTAGTTGAACAAGTTCAAATGGTGTTTTATGCCCCACTAATAAGATGAAAAAAGCTTGGAATGTTGCAATACCTTTCAAATAAAGAGACTTTTTTTTTTTTTTTTTTTTTTTTTTTTTTTTTTTACATAGGTGAAAATGTTGATAGTAGTGTATATATATGATTGTGCTTCCGTTTCAAGTGAAAACCAAAACCCTATGGTTTTGAATGAGATTGAAAATTTGCAATTAACAATAGAAGAACTAAGGGGGTGTATTCAATCATGACTTTCATAGAGTTTTAAAGACTTTTATGAACTTTAAAAATTTGGAGGTATTCAATTCAAACTTTTAGAGAGTCTTTAAAAGTCAGGCGGTATTCAATCAAGATTTTTAAAGAGTCTTTAAAAGTCGTGTGATATTCGATTAAGACTTTTAAAGAGTCTTTAAAAACCATGTGGTATTCAAAAAGTTATGAACTTTTGTAGACTTTTTAATTTTAAGACTTTTGTAGACTTTTCCTTCTCAAATATAAATAGTTGAAATCCGACCATCAACCCCAATATTTCAAATTTTCTTTCTAACAATTTTGAATGTTTTCTCTCTCTATTTAAACTCTACTTTTTCTCCCTATTTAAACTCTATAAACCTATCTAAATTCAATAAAATTATTTTTTTCTTCATTATCCTATATTTTTCTCATACCTAAACTCTACCAATTTTTCTCTCTCATAAACTTTAGAATCTTCATCTAAAAATTTGAAATAATATTATTTTTACTTCATTATTGCTTGTTTATATTGATTTTTATTTTTTTCTATGAATTTTTTATCACTAACTTTCTCTAATTCTCCCTAAATATATGAACAAAGCAAATTTTTCATCGTCAAATTTTAGTATATGTTTCATAATATTCATATAAATACTTATATATTTTGATTTTTATTATTTTTATGTTTATATTCGTAATATATATATATATATATATATATATATATATATATATATATATATTAACAACAGATTACTACGAATAGCGAATTACTGTTCGTAACAACAATTTGGAGTTGCAAACAGTAGCACCTTGTTGTTGTTTGCAGTCTCAAATTGCTATTGCAAATAATAGTTCTTTGCATGATGCCTAGCAATATATCAAGGATAATTTTATATATATTATTAATATTGGATTTTTATTTTTTTATTTTATGCAACTTGTAATTATATTTTTAAATATTTTATTTGATCAAGTCTTTTATTATAAATTTTATTATTCAATATTGTTATGAATTTCTAATGAAATAGTTTTTTTTTTTTTTTTTTTTTTTGTTGATGTTTATTAATAATATATATAAGCTAAGTAATTAGCATATAAGTCTCATCATACTATGGATAAAAATAATAATGTTGAAAATGTTGATGTGGGTGAAGAACTATATAATAAGAAGAATTTTATGATATATTATAAATGTTTTGTAAGAAAATTGTAAATGAGAAGAATCAAAATCATTGAAAGTTTGTAATGATGTATTCGATTTAGAATTTCAATGACTTTTGTAGACTTTTTAAAATAAAAAGTTGATTAAAGTCTATGAATGTTTTTTATATAGACTTTTATAGAGTCTTATAAAGTTTTAAAAAGTTTTGAACGACTCTATGAAAGTCAATCAAAATTTATTAAAATCTATCATTTTAAAAGTCTTTAAAACTCCACAAAAGTCATGATTGAATACACCCCCCTAAGGATCCGTTTGAAAACTTCAGAACATGCTAAATTTAACCTGATAAGCAATACACCCCCCTAAGGATCCGTTTGAAAACTCTGATAAGCAACTCTTCTGGGGATCGAACCCAGAATCTTTGGTTCCGTAGACCAGCGCCTTATCCATTGGGCCACAGAGTCATTTACAATATTATTTTACACTTTACAGAATACATTTAAAATACAATAAACGTTCTTTAATTTAGTCATTTTTTTGGAAAAAAATAGATCTGAATACACTTTTGTAGTAGTGTTTTTGTCAATTTTTTTTGTTTTAATCTTAATATTTTGCCATTGTTTGGTAATCAGCAAATTATGTTAGTGTTTTTGACCGATGAATTGTATTAGCTGTTTGTAAAGAATTATTTAGTAAAATTAGCTATTTATTATTAACGTTTAACACTTAAAAAGACATATAAACATGCATGGTGTTTCGAAAATGAATTACCAGCCATCTTTTATTTATTTGACCAAATTCAATTGATTGACTTAATCAAACAGTTAAAAGTGTGTTTTAGTAATTGACTTTTTTATTAGATGATTGATAATCAGTTAAAATAGAAAACACTACTTTGAGTAGCATTTTCTATAAGCTTATTAATTTTTTTAAAGACAAAGTTAACTATGAAAAATCCTCTATATCTTACTATTGTGATGGAGACAAATAAAATCAAAGATATCAAGGAAAAAAAAAAAAGAAATTCAAAAGTTTAACACGATAAGAACAAAGAAAAGCAAGCTGCCAAGCAATTGGCTTGCAAAAGTTTAGCGGCGGTTTTCATTATGTTTAGCGGCAGTTTCAAACTGCCACTAATGTGTTTCCCGACGGTTATTCAATCGCATCTAAATAGTGTTTCGCGAACGATTTAGTGACGATTTTCTACAACCGCGGGAATTAATAAAAACCTTATTTGGCGGGTTTCTACAACCGCGGGAATTAATAAAAACCTTATTTGGTGACAGTTTTAAATGCATTTAGCGGCGGTTGTAAACCGCCGTTAATAGTTATTTAATATTTAATATAAATGTTAGCGGCAATTTTAAAACCACCGCTAATGTTTATTTATTTATTTTTTTTTTTTGTATTTCCTCATCTAATAGGGATTGTTACTAAAATTTATAATTGTCATTAAATTATTTTTGTTGTAAACATCTACTACCATATGTGCATTGCAAACACAAATAAATACACATTTAATTTAGAAGAAAACCAAATGTAATTTGTATTGCCAAATATCAATGTTTAACAATATTCAATAAAGTTTACCTATTAAAAGAAAATCAATTCTACATCCAAGCTCATTGGTGGCAGTTCTACATTGATCTCCTCTGTAGTGATGGGTTTCACATGTGGATCTTCTTTGACACCACTTTGCTCCAACTCTTTCTTTATCCTTCTAATTTCCATATCCTTATCTTCAAGCTTCTCTTGCAACATAAACACGTGCAACCATATTTAAATGAATTTGTATGTAGCAATGTTTTAGAACTCAGCCACATTCTTGAAATATCAGGGAAAATGAATCAGCAAGTGAATACTAAGCTAAAGTCACTGCAAAAATGTATGCACAAGTAAGAATACAGACTTAGGCAATCTAGCAAGTTCTCTTCAATGTAATACTAGCTAATTACAAACCAATCTAAACTTTGCATGAGAAATCACAAATAGTTTAGAGTCGATACAAAATTTCAACATACTCAATTTTAGACACACCATTAGAAATCCAGGTACCAATTAAAATAAAACATGAAACTAATTAGAGTTGTCTCCACTCAGTTTAGACTAGATGATGAATTTTGCTTTCCACTCCCTTGTGAAGATTGGTGCTTGCTTCCTTCATCAGGTACCTACATTTCATAGTATAAATTTCAAGGCTCGATTCTAAATAGTTAAATGAAATCAATGATGTTTGCACAACAATATAGAAATGCATACAAACCGCTTTTCTTAATGTATAACTAATATCCCAATGGCTCCCTTGGGTGGTGCTAACTGCTAAGGGTGATGTTCACTTCAATCAACTATTTAACACTGTTGAAACTTCAATGACCAACAACAGCCAGCTATATTCAGCAGAAAAAGTATTCTAATGGACAGTTAAAAGAATTCCAAAAAGCCAAAAATCAGTATTTGAAAAAAAAAATATGTACTTACTGGTTGAGATGTTTGGTTAAGGAAGGTAGCAAATTGTTCAGGAACTTTGCCAAAAGATTTTTCCAAAACAGCAACAAAGCCCATCCCATGGGCTTTTGCGTACCACTTTGAATTTGCAATTGAGCTTTAGTTGCAGCTAACTCTTTCTCCAAAGTAGACACATACTCCTTCATTTGATTATCATTAGACGACCCATGCATCTCAGTCATCCTTGAAGTATTGTTAAATACCTTAGATGGGCATGGTCCAAAACCTAACCCACGAACACGTCCATTGTGTTCTTTTCCAAAGGTTTTGCCAACAGGGTCATCTTGTGAAACAAATTGTGATTGAGAAGATGAGCCTTGATCCATTTCATTTCTGATTTTTTCCTACATTAAACAAATATCAATTTGCAGTGTAACATCTAACCCTATTCCAATTAAATTAAAACATACTTACACTGATAATTCTACATTCTTCATTAACATATGACCCTCTTTTTACTTTGTGGGTATCAATCCATAGTTCTAAGCGATTAACACTGTGCCTGAGCTCAATTTCCTTGTGTGAAATTTAAATTGTTAGTAGTTAAGAAAAAATTAAAATAAATATTCAACTTAAAGAATTGCAAAAAAAAAAAAAAAAAAAAAAATTGAAATACCATCTCAACCCTTCTCCTAGCAAAGCTCTTTGATCCACAAGAATGCGCAATTTTTTGATGTTTCCTACTTTCAGCATTTTTTCGGCACATTTTCTAATAATAGAGTATAATACTAATACATTAGGCAAATATGACCACAATAATAAGCAAACAGATATTAGAAACATTACCTTAGATTTTTCAGACAAACGATAGTTGACAAAACTTGACCACTGGTCTCTATGAATTCCAATTGGACACTTACTAATCAGTTCATCTCGGTTTAACGAAGTCCTTCCATTTCCTCCAAATATTTTGAAGTGTCCAATGTTTTGCAATCACATCATTTTGGAAGTGAAATTTTGACTTCAAATCATGACAAATGCAATTATTAGCATTTATCAAAAGTTATAAAATTTAGTGCAAATAGAATCACTTATGGAACAAAATTTGGTGCAAGTAGACTTATCATTTATACACACAATACTTTCGTACAGGAATAAAAATTAAGACTTCACCTAATGTTATGGACAATAATATACTATAGAATTTAGATGATTATTTATTACCAAAAATGGGAAATGTGCTGTTCTGCTAGGTCCTCCAAAATCCTGGAAAAAAAAGACTTTTTTTCTTCTAAAAATATTTTATTCTAGGTAGGCTACACCTCAATCAATTATCTATCATTGCTGAAATTAAAGGAAAGTGGTGCAACCAAACCATAATTAATTAATTTGTGCACAAAATATCAAATGGAGGAGCTAGCTAGCTATAGCCTAAGTATGATTGTCATCAGATCAGACCACCTAAGTATCCTCACCAATACCTTTCCAATTAATTTCCTCCTTACAAGTTTTGCCATTTGTATCTTCTCTATGCCACTATCTAATTTACATTTGTAAGGCTAACCTGCAGATTTGACGACCTGTAATACCACATGAAAGCATTGAATCCACCTATAATTCTATAGTTGACAGACATGAAATGCATAAGTTTACATTTTTATTCCATATTTGATTAATTGATGCCTCTAAACAAATTTTTTATCATAAGCTGCCATCCAATAACTTCATTATCAGTGCTCATCAATAATATGGGAGAAGAGAAGAATACACATTTATTTTTTGAATGTAACAAATAATTGAAACTACTTTGTTACCCTGAGCTACTTCATTACCTTATTATTTTGGCAAAGGTATCTTTTTATATTGCTTTGACATCAATCTCCAATCAGTAAAATTGATTGGAAATGAGCTACTTTCCTATAAATACATACACAGCACGGGAGTTCAAACTGAATCACATCTGAGCCATTGAAAAATAAAAACAAACGAACAAGATCTAATCTCTATCTCACCTGCCATTGGATCCAAACATATATATATATATATATATATATATATATATATATATATATATATCTTAATACTATGCTACATAACAAGGCAATAAAGAGAATTAAATAAAAGATTTTCTTAAAAAAAACATTTAACTCTTTAGAAAATATCTTACTTCATCAAGTGTATTTTCATTTTTATTTTTGATTACTTCATCAACTCTGGCAGGTATGGCAGACCAAAGTTTTAATTATTTTTTTAGTGTATTTTCATTTTTATTTTTAATTATTTTAACTGTCGGACATAACTAGTGACTAATCCACTGGCTTGATTAAAAAATGAGCCAAATAGTGCAATCGAATCCAATCTGGATTTTTTTTAAAAAAGTGTCAAATAATGAGATTGAATCCAATAATTAAAAAAAAATACCTGTGGTATGCTTTTCCTATGCCACATATCCCCATTGACAACATTAGAACCCACAATGAGAAAGTCAAATTCTGAAGCAGCAGGCAAAGTAATGGTCCTCCCATCCGAATCCTCAAAAAGAGAATAGAAATCAACACAATCCATGGAAATGTGTGGCGTTGCGGTGTTAGATCAAGCGCAACATCACCAATTAACAAAGCGGCGCTGAAACAAGTACTGGGAATACCACTGCAAGCATCAAACAGAAATTTCATCACAACTGTAGCATTTGGGGGTGTTAATCAAGTCGAAATGGAAACTTGACACTTCATTGAGGAATGATAACCAACTAAACATAGTATTCGTATATCAGAGATCTATTGTGTTTCTGCAACGATTAGTGGAAGATATTACCTGAGCAGCAATGGCGAAACGTCGAAGTAGAGGCGGAGGGCGGTGTGGCGGAGGAAAGCTTATCACAGGGCGGAGCACTGGAGCAGAAACCCTAAAGTCTCTAAAATAATTGCGCTAAATGCGGTGTTTATGCACGATGAGAAGAAATGCAAGAAAATACAATTACGTCTATACAATAAATAATAATTTGGCCCTTAACCTTTTCCCTTCTTTCACTTTATACTATCTCGCATTATTCTCGCCCATCTTTACACACTCACTTATGAAATATTAATTTTGATACTTAGTTCAATTCGCACACATAAAATGCTTCCTTGTATACATCTCTAAAGTTATTCCATAACTTCCAACCATCTTCTAAACGGCAAGTTATGTTGTGGAACCATGTCCATCTTGCAAGTTGGACACAGTTTTAAAACTATTCATAATCGTGAATATTGAGTTAAAAAATTATGAATATAAGTTTTATAATTATGAACATAGATTTATGAATATAGAGTTCTATAATTATGAACATAGAGTTCTGTAATTGTAATATCTACTATACTAATAAGAGTCCAAGTGAGTTACGCCTATAATGGGTAGAAAAAAGAGAGTTACGCCTATAATGGGTAGAAAAAATGACGGTCAAATGACTGGCTCATATTGATTAGATTTTAATTTTTCTTTAAGATTTCCTAATTTATACTTAATGAGTATGATTATCCGTTAACTTTTCCGTTAATTTCTGTTAATTCAAAAAAAATATTCATTATCAATAAATTAAATAAGAGAAATAAGTTCATTAGTTATATTGTTTTTATTTTTCTCCAATATAAAAATTATTTACATTCAAATTCATCAATTGATTATATTCGCTACATTGTCGCTACAATGTCTTTAATAAAAAAAAAATTCATTATCAATAAATTAATTAAGAGAAATAATTTTATTAGTTATATTATCTTTATTTTTCTCTAATATAAAAAATTTTTACATTCAAATTCATCAATTGATTATATACGCTACATTGTCCCTACAATGTCTTTATTAAAAAAAATTATTCATAATCAATAAATTAATTAAGAGAAATAATTTTATTAGTTATATTGTCTTTATATTTATCCAATGTAAAAATACTTTACATTCAAATTCATCAATTGATTATATTCACTACATTGTCTTATTATCTCTTTTGTGCACTATTTTTAATTAAATATCAAAGTTATAATACAAAATAATGCTATATATTTATTTACCAAGTATTTTATTAATACTATGAAAAAAATTTAAAAAATATAATTAATAAAGCCAATCATATTAACTACGGGATTTGTTGACAAAGAGAGTATTCAAATCACACAACAAATTGAAGTGAGAACTACCTCGCAATGTCCTTGTTTGACAATCAGCAATTAGCGGTTAGCGTTAGCGGATTTGACCAGCGAATTTAATCAACAGTTGGTAAAAAGATATGAAAAAATCAGCTGTTTAGATTAACATATAAAATGACCTAGGGTATAATAATAATAATAATAATAATAATAATAATAATAATAATAATAATAATAATAATAATAATAATAATAATAATAATAACAATAATAATAATAATAATAATAATAATAATAATTGTTTTAAAAATATATATAATTAAGTCAATCATATTAACTACTTGGGGGATTTATTGACAAAAATAGTATTCAAATCACACAACAAATTGAAGTGGGAAATTACCTCGCAATGTCCTTGTCTCGTATTTGGTTTCAACCATACCAATACAATTATAATATTGGCAATTATAATCAATCTTGACTATATTATCTTGCATTTGTAAACTTAGAATTACCTATTTAAATATGCAAATTCAACATTCAATTATCTATGCATGAACAATTCCAATATAATCTTGCCTAATTTGTTTGCTTGAACATCAATAGGGATTGGGGGAAAATAAAGCTTGTGAGGCACATAAGGATTATCAGATTTATGCAATTGATGCTCATTTTCAACAATAATTTCATTAGCTTCATCATTCCATTTTTCAATCATTTCAGTTTGTTTAGAAGTGATATTATTTGTTAACTTGTTTTCACCATTCAGAGCATCCTCAGGTTGACTAGGTAACTTACCTGGCACATGCCCTTGCACAAATTTAACAATTTTCTCTAAATGTGCTTCCAATCTTTTAAAGCAAGCCTCATTTTGTTCACCTGCTTCTTGGGGCTCATAAGCTTCTTGTTGCAACTGCAACCATTGATCATGTTCTTCTTGTTGCTTTTGAAACCGTATATCATTTGCTTCTTAGGTGGCCTGTATGTACTCCTGCATGATATCATCCAACGATGGTTTTTTAAGTTGGGGTGACTCAACTGGTTAAAAATCATTTTGACTATTACCCCAGTAAAAATTAAGATGACTAAGTTGAAAATCTTTTTGATCATCATCCCAAAAATTAAGATGACTTAATTGAAAATTATTTAGATTATAATCACAACAAAAATTGGGACGACTTGGTTGAAAATCACTAGGATGATTTGGTTGAAAATCATTTTGATTATCATACCAAAAATTAGAGTGATTTTTCCAACCCGAATTATAAGAATTATAAAACGGGTCATGCACATGCCGTTGATTAAAATCATTCATTGGACTTACCTGTCAAAAATCATTATTAAAAGGATTATTTTGATTTGACAAAAAAGAGTACATATTAAAATGTAAAATTTTTCAAATATTTGTGTGATTAAGAATGAAACAGAATTTTGAGAAAGTAGAATGGACTAATGAATCAAATAAATGAGCAAGATTATATTAAATTGAAGGAAAAAAAAACAAATGACAATAATAATAATAAAGAGATTGGAAAAAAAAATTCAACCTATAATGGGAAAATGGAAATAAAACAAATATAAAGCAATGTTTAAATAGACGAATGAATTAAATAAAATGCAAGATTAAAAATGAAAACGATGACGATAATGAAGGGATAGCGAAAAATAAAATAAAAAATCAAGCAATTAAGGAAAGAAAAAGAACACAGCAAATTAAATTTCAAAATAAACAATTCCCCGGCAACGGCGCCAAAAATTGATGGACAATTTTAAATAGTCCTTGCAAGTGCACGAATCACTATAGTAATAGTGTGCAAAAGCAAGGGTCGATCCCACAGGGAATTGATACAATGCAATTTAATAGCTTGAAATTAAATTAACTGACTTAACAATTTTATAATGATAAAAACGAAGATCAAAGATAAGAATCAACTCAAGTGCAAGATAATTAAATTGAGATTCAAGAAGCTAAATAAATGAATCGTTAGGAACCAAAGAAATCAAATAACAATCAAGATGAGAAAGTCTAGGAACATGAATTAATAATCATTTACGATCAAAGTATAAAACATAAATCAATTGGCAAATTTAAGCTTAAATGATTACAAAACATTCATAACAATATCATTCCGAGAATAATAATTTAGCAAAGCATACTAAAATGTTAAATGAAATTGAGATTAATAACAATTAACCCTAAAAACACCTTCTAGATAAAGAATATAAATATTGATTACAGTGCAAAAGATTTGAAACGCAACCAGGAGACAAACTCTTCATCAGAACAATATCACCAATAAATTAAGCATAATTAATTCATGATTTGCTTTAGAAGCATAACACACATTCCAAAGATGTGAAATTAAAAGGTAAAAGGTAGGAAAATGAAGAAAGTAAAAGAATTGCTTATGCCACTACTGCTGCGCCAAAAGATGAATCACACGCCCAGACCTTGCCGTTACCGTAATCAGCCGTACCGACCGAAATTTTTGCCGCCAACGGAGAGTCTTTGTTCACTGCCACCGGAATTGGTTCGGGGCAAAATTGATGATCGGTGATGGAGATTTTCCTCCTTTTCATACTCCTTCAGCGCAACTTCTTTTTCCGCACTTTCTCCCTGCTATTGGAGACTCGCTCGCCAATGACCGAAGAAATTGCTCTGCGAGTTGCGATCCCCTTTTCCCCTTGGTGTTGACCGCGCTTTGTTCAATGATCCGAAACTGTTGGTGCATACTAAAACTTTTATAAATAACTTACAATTAAAAGCTTAAATACATTATTAGAGTCCAAATATAACTAATCTACAATTAGTAAACGGCAAATTATTGTGTGGACCATGGTCCACACAGTGTTATGTGGACCATAACAAAATGTACATTTTTAATATACTAAATGTACATTATTTTTGTACTGAATGTACATTATACAATATAATGTACACTCAGTACAAAAATAATATACATCCCCTGAATACAATGTACTTTATTTTTGTATTAAATGTACATTATTTTTGTACTGAATGTACATTATTTTACAGTATACAAAATATGGTCCACACAACTTGCGTAGACCATGGTCCACACAATAATGATTGTTATTAAACTCCTACTAATCAAGTACTACTAAAACTAATATTAGTATTAGTATTATTATTAAATTAAGATCAATGAATTATTGGACTCACAGAATTTAAATAATAAAACAAAATTAATAAGTAAAACAACCTAAAAATAAATAATAATAATAAAAATTACTTATAGCAAAAATAAATAAAAAATAAATATAAATTAATCAGTTATTGCAAATTAACCCACACAAGATAGATAAAGAATAAAAAACCACAAATCGATCTTGAGCACTTAGCTTTTTCCTCTTTTCTCATTTCCAATCAATATCATGGCAAGAAGGAGATTAAGATTGGCATATATTGTCAATCAATCAAAAAGAAAAACATCCTACCAAAAAAGAAAGAGAGGGGTACGTGCTCAAAAAGCTCAATGAACTCACCGTTCTTTGTGGTGCGGATGCTTTTTGAACACGTACCCCTCTCTTGATTTTTTATCACATGTGGTAGCATCCGCAATCAGCCGTACCGACCGGAATTTCTGCCGCCAACGGAGAGTCTTTGTTCACTGCCATCGGAATTGGTCCGGGGCAAAATTGATGATCGGTCATGGAGATTTTCCTCCTTTTTATACTCCTTCATCGCAACTTCTTTTTCCGCACTTTCTC